TACGCAGCGGGGCAACAAAAAGTGAGCGTTCGCCTCGGGCGCGAGGCGTCGTCAGCGAAGTCCGACGAGCCCCCGAGCGACAGGAGTCGACGGACAGAAAAGACAGTGGTGTCTTTTCTGTCCGTCGTGGACAGAAACAGTGGTGAGAATGGTGAGAATCTAAACAGTGGTGAGAATGTAAGTTTATGGAACAGTCAACATTTCAAAATCTGAAAGTGGCAGCTGAAAACTAATTACATATTTGTTTTCAGCTGTAAAAAATGCATATCACATAAAATTTTCAGCTCTAAATACTCAAAATTAAAAAAAATTTTATGACCAGTGTCTCCCCTTAAAAAATTTCTGACAGTGAAAGTTTTGTTTGCAACTTTTTACTGGAATTTGTAGCTCTGCATCTGGTAATCCCGAAATTGATTCTACATGCTCTAATATTTCATATAATTAATTCTAGCATCATAAGTACAGGACAATATTGCATCAGTTCGAAATGCCTCCCTAAATACTATAAGAAAATAGCAGTCCACAGCAAGGGAGCACCCGAGACTATCCGGGCTGAATAGGCCTTTGCGAATAGTAAATTTTAGGTCCGAAGCGAATGCAGTGGAGCTCCAATTATACAACTTTTAGGGGGCCACGCAAAATCGTCATATATAACCCGGGTGTCATATAATAGAAAAACTAAGATTATAGACCGCGACACTCAGCCTTGCTCGAAAAACGAGTACAGACTGCTTGAATAAGCCCGCAGCATGACCGTCTGCCTCTGCAATGAGGGTACATTAAATTATTGTTCCTAGTGGTAGCCTTCGACACCAATAATTAGTTGAAGAAGGTCTGAGCAAATCTTTATTCTCAGCCTTAAAAACAATCAAACCCAATGCGCATCTTTCTACCAACAAATTGAGTTCGAAAATTGCCTGTGCGTGAAAACTAGACCGAAATTGTATTGCCGCAAGCCTCCCATCAGAAGAGTTGGACACAGTGCCATCACTACCGCATAATGGTGACAGAAAACGAGTTTATGTACGACGCGCTCGTGCGCGACTGAGCTGTGCACGTTGTAATATATTGCCTCGTGAAGAGCAACTAGTGGTGTACTGCTGTCGTTATGAACGTTGCCGTCAATTGAAAGTAATTTGGCACAGTGAAAGCAGCTGGGTCGTGCCCTTACGCGTGCGCGAACCATGACTGCAAGTGTGACAGAGGCAGGAGATCATCCGTATGTCAACCAGAAAATGTTTCCGCGAACCGAAAATGTAAAATATCAGCTTTTTGGTCAGCTGAACCTACTCTATGTGGAAGGAGCTTGATTAAGTAATGACCCCAGATACATATGCACACGATTGAGGTGTATGTAGAAGATTCCGGGAGAATAAACTTTTTATTCGATGAAGATGACTCTACTTTTCTTGTAGTCCTCCTTGGGGTACGCAAGTTCATATTTTGCACTCGTGAATATTTATTTGGTAGACATGTGATTCGAGTAAAGGTGTTTTTTTCTTTCTGACTGAATCTGAAAGCCATTGTCAGATGCGGGGTCGGTGTAAAACTGCGTCGTATAACCAAGGTTTTCAATATATTGTTTCTATGGGGAGGAATTTTGCCGAGACCAAACCAATTTGTCGTAAAATGTAGGTCGTCGCGAAACCGGGGGACGTACAGTCGAACTACGCTACAACGAGCGCCGCTTCAATGAAATTTCCGCTACAACGAAAAATCCACGATTCCCCGTCAGTAGTCCAATACATAAATATTTTCGCCACAACGAACACTTTTTCTTCGATAGTCCCGCTTCAACGAAATTTTACAATGCAATTCCAGGCTCAGATACTTACTTCTATGTAGTAAACTCAATCTTTAACATTTCAATGCATTTTCAGAGCCTGAAAATACACCAACGAAGTCTAAAACACGCATTGGCACCACCAGAAACCGCCGTTATACCGCCGCTGTTCAGCAAGCATGGGCGCCGCCATTGCTCGATAGTGATGGCAATGAGACTGCCCTGCATTTTGTTTTGCCACTGGCTTGCTTTCGAGCCGCAGATGATTTGAAGCTGAAGCTCAGTCGCTCAGTCCATGGTTTCCTTCTTGCAGCTGCCGGGTGCAACCACGGCATGATGCCTTTTCCAATTCCGATGCTTATCATTATGTTCGCGCTTGGCCAGTGTGGTAACTAATCAGAGTGGCTGTTCGTCCGCATTATCAACAAAATCAGCTAGTTGCGAGTAATTGGATGATAAGAATGGCATAGAATAATGCAAAAGTCGCTGCTCCATGATACCCTGCCTCCATCTCGGCGTTGTCAGATACGTTTGACGGCAGACAGCTGCTGGTGTTAACGTGTTAATGCAACTGTTCGCATTAACACGTTAATGCAAGGCGGTTTGAGGCAGTGTTTCAGCGTGCTTTTCGCCATCGCCTCGCTATGCATGGGTGAGAATCATGCCGTGACGCTGCTGGGAAAAAATAGGAAGTAGCAGACATTTTCAAAATTTTTAGAATAAACGTAGATCAGCTACCGTATTTACTCGATTCTACCGCGCCCTCGATTGTAACGCGCACCCGATTTCCACCGCGAAAAAAAAAAAAACGTAAGACATCGATTGCAACGCGCACCCATTTTTTCTCGCTGGCCCGCATGATCACACCACTCGAAAAAACGACTCCTTTCGGGAGCGTCTTCCATTTAAATATGAGGTACGGGCGAAGCTTGTGCCCATCTGACGTGTAACAGAGCATTGCCGTCACTGTAGTTTTACCGTGGACCGATGTCAGCACGCGAACTTGCTTCGCCCCCTTCTTCTCGACGGTTGTGGTGCCAGGCATGTCGAAGTAAAGAGGCGTCTGATCGGCATTCCCGATTTGCCCAAGCAGGTAGTCGTTGTTGCGCCGCAAGTTTAGGACGAACCTCTGAAAACTGTGAAGCTTTTCATCGTACTCCTCCGCAAAACTTTTCGCATATGCATGTTCCCCTTCGGAGGGAAAAGCCTTTCCTTTTCATAAAGTTAGTTAGCCAGCACCTGCTCGCTTAAAACTGGTTCCGCATTAGACATTTTTCTAAGACTAATTGCATAGCCCGCACTTGGAGCAGTTCTGCCGTCACGGGCCGCTGTGCTGCTCGCTGCTAAAGCACATACTCGCCGAGCAGCTCTTTAATTTGCGGAAACCGACCCTGCTGTGGTCCACTGAAGCCTTTGCGTAAAGCTTTGCTGTCGAAAATCTTCTGCTTTTGTTTCCGCCGGTCCCGCACGCACGTTTCGGGAACTCCGAACGACCGCGATGCGGCCCGATTTCCGTCCGTTTCTGCACACGCGATGACTTTTCTTTTAAAAGCGGCATCATGGTGCACTCGAGTTTTTGGAGTTGGCCATTCCACGCCGTTGATGCTAATGCACTACTAGATGACGAACTCCTCAGCACACGTACGAAGTGCCGCACATGAGAAACACATAGGCAGAAATGGACGACGCGCCATGCCGACGCACGTAGGGGGCGGCCATTTTAGATTTGCCGATGGCAATAGATTGGCCGTAATTTTTTTGTTCGTACTCGATTCTAACGCGCATGCGATTTATGAACTCGCTTAACCGGAAAAAAGGTGCGCGTTAGATTCGAGTAATTACGGTATATTTTTTTCGATTTCACTACAACTAAACTTTTTTCCCTCCCCGTCTCTGTTTTGTTTTAGCGGGTTTTAACTGTATAATCGAAGTTCCGCTGCACTGATTTCGATCAAATTATTTTAATAAATTTGAATGGTTTACATGACATATTATAAACAACAGTGGGCATATTTGTCATAACCTAACTAACCCACACAGTATTTTTTTTTGCTTGAAACAAGGCTTGTGTAAGTTTTTTTTTAAGAAGTGGAAACAACTTTGAAGAGTAGCAGAATTTTAATTATAGTAGAATGCAAGTGATAAACTCCAAAATATGTAATGTTTTAAAATTTACTAATGAAGAAGGGTGTCTTGAAGGGCCAGTTAGTACATGATACTGAAGAGGAAACTGCGCTAAAAAGGAATGATGTAAGAATTACCACACAACACAGCACTTGGTGTTCTGTCATCATTCTTATTTCATCCCATTTTTGCACTGTTTCCCCCTCAGCAAAATTTACTACACTTAGGGCATGTCATCCGGTATAACAACTTTTAAACTAATAAAATGATGAATCCATTTGAAGGTAATGGGTTTGTTTACCTTGAAGTGGGACTTCGCAGCAATGCCAATTTCTTCTGAATAGATGTTTTGACGGCTTAACACCTATTTACTGCAGTGAAATCACTTTTACAGGAGGTTACATGTGGACTAATATACACTCGTTCGGTCATTGTGAACACTTCACATTCGCAATAACTTAAATTCCAACCGAAGCGAATTTGAAGACTCTACTATTTGTTCGAATATTCAAAGTATTCGAATATTCATAAAGGTCTAGCGCTTAGCTTCGGTGATGCCGGATGCCCCGTTTTCATGTCGGGGACACGCGGGCAGTGAGAAATTATAAGAGGTGGGTGTCCCCTCAGAAGGGGAAAAAAAAAAAGCATTCCTGGCATACAGCCAAAACGACCTTGAGAGCAGCCCGACAACAGAGAGAGAGGATCAATAAACATTAGCCCTGACCGAGGACCAGTCAAAGTATTGTGCACGCTCCGCAAATGTTCTCCGACGTCGACAATACTTGCCTTACGCGTGAAAGGTCAGGTTGGGCCTCAGACTACTTCGAACCAGAGAAGATGTCAACTGGTGCTTATAACTCATATGAGAGCTCACTCTTACTTTAACACCAAATTAAAGTACCTTACAGGCATCACTCGTCACAAATAATCAGTCAGAAGTGCTGGACTTTTATAGACCACAAGCACCTCAAGTTTCCAAATATGGTGTGAGGGCCAATTTTAATATGTCTCTAATGCCACCGTCCCCCCCCCCTAAATATTAATCAAAACTAATTACCAGCAAGGCAATGACAGAATGTGAAAGCATACTCACTCATGCTAAGCTTCCGTGATGACCGCTTGTGGGGCTGCACAGAGTAATCAGTAAGGACACGTTATTAAACACATTTAAGACAGATGCCGCTACAAAGCACTGGCAGATCAGACCTCATATGTGTGAAACAATAGGGAATATAGACAGCTCACAAAAGGCACCTATGTGCACCGACAACTGTATCTTGCACAAGAAACTGTGTGATACTTACCTTGACACCAGGTAAGGAAGCAAGAATTTCGCGTGTCGTCTGGGGACGGTCGTTAGCCACCAATTGCGCATTGCACTTTGCAGCAACACGTGCCGAGCTTCGAGATGCTGCAAACACCCAGAACAAAAACCAATGAAAAAGTGGTCTCTCTTTCTAACTCCCTCATGAGTAGAGTAGACTTTCAGTAAACGGAAATCTGTTAAATGGAACTACCACTTAAACAGAACTCTTGCCTCTGCAATACTTGGTTTCAGGCTTGTATTTTCAACCCATGTTCACCCCTTACTAAAGGGAACTCCTGTTAAATGGAACATATTTTCCCGGTCCCTTCAGGTTCAGTTTACTGAGAGTCTACTGTAGTTAGGCCCCACCACCATGCAAAAGTTAGCTTCTGCTTAACAACTAAAAGGCATGTGTTGTCAGCGACCTTTATCAATATCTTTTCGCAAAACTCGAAGCTTTCACCTTTATCTGCAGCCATTACAGGATAGAAAACAAATTGCCAATGTATCTGGATTTTTATGCTAAAGAAGCGATTACTAATGTAAGTGTACCACAGGGGTCCAATGTTAAGTCTCCTACTCTTCTTGCCAATCGCTTGCCAACTAGCCTCTCCTCTTCTAATTGTATTTTACATGCAGACTACACAACAATATTAAATTTTAATAGCTGCATATCTATGCTAACAAGTACATTAAATGAAGATATTTGAAATATGCACGTCGTGTGAAAATAACAAGCTGCAAATTACACATAGTAAGACCAATTTCGTCATTTTTTTCATCGTGCTTTTATGAGGGGCGAAGCTCCTAGAGGTGTGGGTCTGTCCATCCCTTGTATGTATGTGACCGCCTATAGTTCCACCTTTGCAAACTGCCCACTACTTCGTCCAGAGTTGGCAGTGGAGTCCTCCGATCTCGACTTTGGAGGAGCCGTTGCGGCCCTGCACTTCCTTCGCATGTACGTCGCACACCAAAGCGACGCTGAAAGCGATGCGGCCTTCCAGATTATTGAGATATTCGTCATGCTTACCAGTGAGCGAAAGAAGCGGTAGTCAACTATTTTTGAATATTTCAAGTCTTAGGCTCTCCTGGCCGAAATAAATTGTTTGTAGTGAAAGCGCCTGTGCTCGCATTCATTTTCAGAGCTTTCCTCACTCTTGTGTTTTCTCGCAGTTACGTTTTTTCTTACCCGGTCCGCTGAAAAACATATGAATGAGGTTCCACTGTACACGTTCTCATCAAAAGTCCATTGAATTTCTCCTTCTCTATTCATATGGCACTTTATTATGTTATCATTTCTTCTCATCATAACTACAACATTAAATCATGGGGCTGCACGTACAATAGCCACCTGACATCAGTGCAAGCTATTCAAGACAAAGCCATTCATCCAATAATGTTATCATAATGTTGTGTTACTACCAATCAGTTATTGCATACCCATAATATTTTAAGTGTGTCTAATCTTGATAAATATAATCTCAAAATTTTTGTTAAGAGCTCATTCCAGAAGAACATCCCTGCATTTATATTATGAAAGACATCCCTTGATAATATTAATAGTACTCGATTTGCTAGCAACAATATCCATCTTACCCATCGTTCACACCAACTATGGCAAGCCGTCGTTTCATTTTTTCAGCACTTGCTTTCTGGAATTCATTACCATCTCGTTCAATGATACTAAATGACCATAGATTTCAATTCGAACTGAAACACTTTCTGATAGATTTGTCGAACTCCGGTACTTGGTTGCTCTAGTTCTTTTTTCATGCTTTCTTGGGTTTTTTGCATTTTTGTTTTGTTTTTACTTTACTGCATTTTTCTATTATTTTTTTATGATTCACATGAATTGCTTATTGTATTTTATTTGCGTTTTATTATTTTGTGTACTACATTACTGTTTATTCTTTTGAAAGTGCCTCCCCTCCTTACCCTTTTCACTCTTTTTGAATAAGCCACATTCCTTTACTTGTTCCATGCTTTTTGTTAATGCTTCTTTGGGTTTGTTTCTTGCTTGAATCACATTAACGTCTGTCATTATTAAGTATTCATACTGTCATTTTGCTTGTATTATTCACCATCTTAAAATTACAGTGCACAGGCAGTCCTATTTCAGTTTGTAAATACAGGGCCTCCTTCTGTATATACTTGCGATATATTTGTTCCTTTGTTTGATGAGAAACAAATAATTCCAATTCTGATACTTGTCCTCTCTTCATCGTGACCACATGTCACTGGCTGGAAGTGCTATCGCTCTGCACAGGCCAGGCCAGAATGTATAAGAACATTCACAATTTCTTTTTTATGCTCCAGAATGGCTCTACGAACAAAGCAACAAGTTGCATTGATCCAGTAACTAACACGAGTAATAGGGATAGCGCTATAATGTTTAAGCATGCATGTACCCAAAAGCTGACGTGCAGCACCGCCAACCAGATTACCAATGACTATCCTCCACCCACTATTATGGCTGTACTACAAGTGTTGCTTGCGCCCGCTCCCTGTTTTCGAATTTCTCATCACAAGCTCTTATCTTACCCTTGCCGTTCTTTTGAATTGCTAGCACTTTGAATGTTCTTTTTGCTAGGTTCCAGTTTTTTGAATAAACTATTCAATATTTATCAATTTGACTGCCTAACTCTTTTGTTACCGCAACACACGGTCATTTTTCACATGTTTCTGGAAGAAAGCTTTCACCAGTTTGAAAAGTACTCCAGCACGCATCGCAGCTTATCAAATTATGCATAATGAAATGCTCTTTCCAAATATAAGTATCAGAACAACAAAAATATTGTTTAAACAACAGCATCCACTGGCAGCTCTTCTTGCTTTCAACTTAACATGATGGCACAATTTCAGAGCATGTAAAAAATATCATGGCCACACGGGGGGGGGGGGGGGGGGAAACTACATAAAGAAGAAAACTAACTTTTATCTTTCATGGTGGATGGTGCAGTGTTCATAAAGTGTGTGAAATGCCTTAAAAGTTACAATTCAAACCATCGATAGCAGGCATTCAATGCCCTATGGTCACAGTAGAGAAAGAGTTCATAGCTTAAGCACTACAGTAACACACTTAGAGCTATCACATAGCTAGATAAAGCAGAGCTCACCCTGCACAGCAGATGCCAATGTGCGACGTTCAATGGAGTCATCTGTGTAGCAGACTGGACGTCTCTGCTGCCGCACGGAGTGACGGAGCGGCTGCAAGACACCAAAAAGCAATGTGGCATTCTATATCACAGAGACAAAACATTACTACATTTACTTGCATAATGAAGACACTTTTTTTCTCGAAAAATTGGAGCAAAGTTGGAGGTGCATTTATTATGAGAGGCAAATTTTATGAAAACTTTTTCGCGATGAGCAAAAAATGCGGCAATGCGAAAAAGGTTAGGTTGCTTAACCTTTTGCAATTGACATACATGTACACTGTTTGGAAACGGCTTCTTTGTTGCGCTTCACTCATCTTTGGTTGTTGATGGCACTATCTTCTGCAAGCTGTCCCCGCACTGCCCGCGCACGCCATAAAAGCATTTCGCGACTATCTTTTCTCGCAATCGTTAAATAGGTTTAGAGGTACCTGCTGTGATCTCGAGGCACATCCAGAAACGTGCGCTACGACCTTTTTGCCAACTTCATGGCAACCTCGCACGACGACCGTGTCGCTGCCGTTGACATTGTATTAAGTAACCAACATAGCAGCAAGCTACCACCAAAGCATCTAAACAAACCGCCTATAACAAGATTAACAACAAAATACGGCCATCGCCTCACTATCTACATGAGAAGTCACTGTAGAAAAGGTAGCCTCCATTTTGCTTTCCTTGAAGTTAGCGCGGATACAAGTACGAAAAGCTAACTGCAACCGAAGCGAAAATCGGGGGTGCTACCGTGTTGCAGAAATAGTCCCGATCTTTTTTTGGGCGACAAGCGACTTTTTTTAAGGTTTTCCAGAAACCTGCAACGCGATGGCGATGAATGGCTCTTCGCGACCGCCATGGTGACAGCAAATCTTGTTGTCATTGCTCGAAAATCGCGTGCATGTGGTTGGGCCTTAAAGTTAAAAGAGGAAACCGTCAGTTGGTGAGGGGCTGTTTCGAGACCTTCGCCCGCTGTGTGCTTAGCAGCTGCGATATATCTACACTCCTGCCGTTCGTGAACCCCACTGTGGTGGATAGATAACTAAAAAGACTGGGGGCGTGCCACGCACAGATGGAAAGAAATACAATACAGCGCGTGGCAGCAGGCAAAGGGGATGAGGGAGCGAGCTGAGGTGGCCGATGGGGGTCAGCATAATAATAAAAAATGAAAGAGATTTAACGGGCAAGGAGGCGCCAGGTGTGGGTTAGCGAGACTGCAGTGGACGAATGTAGGGGATGCATTTATTATGCAAGTGTGTTTATTATGGGAGTAAATATGGTATATAAGTACTAACTCTATGCAGACTGAAGCTGTGTAATAATGAGTTCTGTAGACTAAAAAGAGGCCTCTACGTGGCTCAAAATTAATAATAAAAAAATGTTGAACTTGTGTCAACAGCCACAACTTTGATAAGTAAGTCTTTACACATCCTCTCACTCGAGCAAAAATGTAACATGTACTATTGGCATCATATCAAACAGGAGCAGCGGCCAGCATTAGAGATGGTACAGTGCGTGCCATCCAGACATCATCATAGACATGGTACATTTGCGCATGTCCATGGTGATGGCAAGACAGTGTGCACTATACCACAGCCAATGCTTGCTGCTGTTTGTGTTTTATTTGATGCCTATAGTACTTAATTTCATGCATTTACCCCGTCAATTCTGGATATATCAAATGATTGGCTATATCAAACCGTTGAGAAATCCCCTTGAATCTCCCATGCAAAAGTATGGGGCTGGTGCACACATATTTCGAACTCTCACCCAGCAAAACATCTGCTATATCGAATTCTATGTCGCACAAAACCCCACAAAGTGGATTTCTCCTATAGAGTATCAATCGAATTGAAGCTGCGTTCTAACAAGTTTCAGCTCCTCTTAGCACAAACAGGTGACGAAAAGTGGGGTGTTATTTAGGCTTGTGCGAGTAGACAAATTTAGATTCAAAGCTAATAGTGATTTCGGTTGAATAATTTCGAATCCAATCCAAATAGTATAAACCGCACATTCTATAGTAAAATTGCATATCACAAAAAAAGTGCATATTTGTGATGACCTAATTAACCTGCAACATTTTTTTAATTGACACAAAGCCTCTCTAAATCTTTTTTTTTTTTTCCTTCAAAGAAAGTCGAAACAAGTTTGAATAGTAGCAGCATTTGACTTCTGGCTAAACGCAAGTAATAACCTGTGCAAAATAGTTTGTTTTAAAATATACTGTACTTAGCCCATATAGATAGGTATATCAAGCTTTTAATCTTACAAATCATGAATGGATGTGAGGATAATATTTTCTTTAAACCTTGAAGTGGGGGTTTCACAGCAGTGCGGATGTCGCCTAAGTGAATATCTTCACGACTCTGCTCCCCTTTACTGCAGTGAAACCACCTTTACAAGGAGTTGTATTACAGGGTGTTCATACACCTATTCGTTCACCTCCAATACTTCAAAATTTTCAATAATTTAAATTTTCAGCAGAATCTAATATTAATTCAAATATTCAATGCATTCGAATATTCACACAAGCCTAGTGTTATTCCATTGTGTTGATCTGGTTGGTTGCAAATATGTGCAATCACCATGCAGGGTCACAGTCTCTAGCTTTTTACGTTTCACCAGCAGCGACTGCAGTAAACAGTTGCTTTGTATTGACTCCGTGCCCATGGTCTGCCTTCAAGACTACGCGGACTCTATGTGTGATCACGTCGCCAGAACCCCAATATGTCTGTAGCAGATGTGGGTGCTTAGTGCTATAGTGACATTTTGACTAGGAGGAACAAACACACAGTGCCACTAATATGATGGACATATAATCGAGGACGAAATGCGACTATTTTGTGGTATGCAAGCTGGCATCAAACTTGCCACTACATTGCGACGGACGGCTGATCTTTCACTAAAAGATATGTGCGCTTAGTGGTCGTGGTAGCGGATGAAGCAGGGGACGCATGAGAACCAAGTCTCAAATGAGGATAAAGGGTCTGGCACAGAAGGAACATTGCAAAAAAAGTTGCAAGATGATGAGAATTGCAGCATTTGCACTGCTCTCATGCAATATAATAGCGGGACTTGCGAATAATTCAATAAATGGAACTAAAATAATACAACAGTTGTTTTTTTTCTCTCTCTCTCAATATATAAAATTCGACATGAAAACAATTAGTGCATTTTTTTTCTGATCCCGCAAAATCCAAGGAAAGAGGTTCTACAGCACAAAAAAGGCATCCTCATGTCAGATTTGAGTTTGCTAGAGCGAGGTTGAACTGTGGTTCTCGTAATCAAGTTTGGCAGAGCTTGCACAAGGTCCTAACCTCTCGGTCCAGAGGGACAGAAGAGCAGATGCCATTTGGAATGGGCAGTTGGTTGGGCAGGCTCTCGCCATTGGCCATGATGTCCATGCTCAGGCCCTTTGTTGCATGAAACCCTGCAGGCAGCTTTACATACAGAACTGCAGAGACAAAGAAATGCAAACCAGGACACTTAATACATTCCAACGTGTTCTGGCCAATGTATGCTTTTTGACATGATAGAGGCAAACAATACACTACGAATAATTTGCATCCAACAAACTTTATTGCATGCTTTACTATATTGCCATTAGTTTTTGATTTTGTGAAAAGACCACAGTCCAATACTGTCCATATTGTATCAAGCTTGCTGGGTGCCAACCTTTCAACTAAGTAGTCAGATGGTGCAGACTACTTAGACTAGTGTACTTCTAAAAAGGAAACCTCCCGGTCAAGTATTCAGAAGGTCGCCTGCTTGGAAGGACTCTAGCTTTAAGCTTATTCAATATGTAGGGCTTGCAACTGTCATGGATTTCTTTGAGTAACCTATTTCTACACATGGTACTGGCACGCGCAAGTTACCACCTATACATCTTATCTGGCTGTTCTTGAATGTGTCTAAGCTTCATAAATCTTGTCCTATCACTGGAGTGAGCAGGAGGTGTGTTCTGTGGTGAGAACGCATTTGACTGTTATTTTTTTGTGTCAGTCAAGGGTGCATGGGTGCATATGTATATATGAAGTATTGTTTCTTAAATAAAATTTGTTGTGAGTCTAGCAAGTATGGAAAGTTTCTTGTCCCCTTTGTGCTCGTCAAAAGTGTGCTAGTTCACCTATAAGGTATGATGACCAATTACCAGACAGTACAGCTTTCATCCCTGTTGAACTATCGCCATGTTATGCACGGCAACTTTTACACTGGTTTTGGCTTTGCCAGTGTTCGGCGAAGAAGCTGGCCTATAGGACACATTGGAAACATGTGGTGAAAACAACTCACCAGAAAATGCGAGCATTCCTACAAGCTGCTACTAGAGCCAAGTGATAATGGTGCTGCAGGATTTCGTACGCGCTATCAGCTGCGTGCTCGTACCCGTTCTTCTGGGCCCGGTATCATGCATCGATGCGAGCAACCCTTTCCCGTCAAGGCCCGTCAGCGCAGATGACTGGCACCTACTTCCAGCATTGGCCACCACTGCCCTATCGACGCTGCAGTCCGGAAACTGGACGCTCGAAAGAGCTCTCACAGCTTCACCGTCATCGACTTCAACAAGCGCACGGCGTATAAATCCCCCCCACCAGCCGGCCGCGCTCTGTGGGCTCGGTGGCTGTGCCACGACGCAGTCTAATCCACTTCTGTTCGTGATGCAGGATTTCGTACGCGCTATCAGCTGCGTGCTCGTACCCGTTCTTCTGGGCCCGGTATCATGCATCGATGCGAGCAACCCTTTCCCGTCAAGGCCCGTCAGCGCAGATGACTGGCACCTACTTCCAGCATTGGCCACCACTGCCCTATCGACGCTGCAGTCCGGAAACTGGACGCTCGAAAGAGCTCTCACAGCTTCACCGTCATCGACTTCAACAAGCGCACGGCGTATAAATCCCCCCCACCAGCCGGCCGCGCTCTGTGGGCTCGGTGGCTGTGCCACGACGCAGTCTAATCCACTTCTGTTCGTGATGCAGGTCAGTAATCATCACTGTATTTTTGCTAAAAAAACAAGCAACCGATGCCTTGTTCAGCTACCGAGCCCCCAGTGCTGTGTTTGCATTATTTCTGATTGTATGAACATTGTGTTTTCTCTGCTGTTACTGTTGGGTGGAGATATTGAAACTAACCCTGGTCCGACCACCCTTGAGCAAATAATGACTGAACTAAAAAGCTTGTCTTCCGGTCAATCCCAGCTCATTAGCGATGTACAAATCCTAAAAAGCCAGCTCTCTACCACTGATAAAGCCATTTCTGAACTTGGCAAGAGAATCGACAGTCTAGAATCCCACTACAGTAGTGTCGATACACTCCGATCCGATCTTGACGCCATGGCCACCGCCACCTCCCAGACAGCTACCCAGGTCTCTGTACTGGAGGCTCGACTGGACGACGCGGAGAATCGTTCCAGACGAAACAACTTGTTGTTTTACGGCCTAGCGGACGACAAGCCATCCGAAACGTATGCGCAGTCTGAGGAGCGTATTACTGGGTTTTGTAGGGACCACCTAAAAATAACTGTCGAATCCAAGGATGTCGAGCGTGCCCACCGTCTTGGCCGCCACTCGCAAGGCCGGTGTCGGCCTATTATAGTGCAGTTTACATCCTTCAAAACCAAGGAAGCCGTCCTTGCTAAGGGCCCCCAGCTTAAACATACAAATTTTAGCATCGGGGAGGATTTCTCGCATCGTGTCCGGAACGCACGGAAGCACCTACTGGCTTTTGCTAAAGTAAAATCAGGTCCCTTCCTTTTACGGTATAAGACCCTTTTTATGGGATCCAAACGATACGTATTTAACGAGGCAACTGAAAATGTAGAAGAAAGCTCGTAGCAGTTGCCTTCACGCCCCAGATCTTCTAATTGTCCCGTCTTTGGTCACAAAGGCAATCTTTCTTTTTCGGTTATTTTCACCAACATACGTAGCTATTTTTCCAAACGCGACCACGTGTCCGACCTTGTATCTTCATCTAACAGCAGCCTACTTATACTAACTGAAACGTGGTTGACCTCTGACGTCACCGACAGCGAAATTTTGACCGACTTGCCTCACTTTAATCTTTTTCGAAAAGATCGTCCAGGTACCCGGGGCGGCGGCGTCCTGATTGCTACTAACGAACAACTTTCATGCTCCCTTATAAACATTGATTCCGACCTAGAAATATTGTGGTTGCTTTTTCGTTCCGTACCACATTCCGTACTATTAGGTGTTTGTTATAGGCCTCCCAAAAGTAGCCCGGATTTCGCGCGCCAGCTTAATGGTATTTTAGCCGAACTTACGACCAAATACCCAAATGCTCACGTCCTCCTCCTGGGGGACTTCAATTTTCCTAACATTGATTGGTGTAATCTAACTTCATCAGCACCCAATGCTAAGGAGGCCAACGATTTCCTTGATGTTTGCCTCAACTTTAATCTCACTCAGTTGATAACACAACCTACACGTGTTTCTCGAGATACTGCTAACATTCTTGACCTAATCTTAACAACTGATCCTGAGAGCCTTTCTTCTATAACATATCTTGATGAAATAAGTGACCATAAGGTCATTCACGCTAATTTTACCTTCGTTCCTCAAATGCGCCAAGCCTGCACTAAAGCTATTAGGTTATATGACAAGGGTAACTACGCGGCCATCACCCGAGAACTTGAAGTTTTTCTTCCGACGTTCCTTGATGGCTTCTGGGAGCGACCCATTAACGATAACTGGTTAATCTTCAAAAACAAGTTAAACCAGCTAGCTGACCAATTTATCCCTAAAATAAGCTTTCGTCCCACCCGCCAAAAACCTTGGTTTACTAAAACATTAAAAAGGCTTGAAAATAAGAAGAAACGCCTCTTTCGGGCTGCGAAGAATAAAAACACTGATTCTGCATGGGAAAAATACAAGGTTGCCGAGAAAGCATATTCAAGTGAAGTGCGCAACGCCAAGTACTCATTTTTTCATACGGAACTTCCGAAAATTCTCACTGATTCACCGAAGCGTTTCTGGCAAATAATAAACCCTCCTAACACGCCCCCCATCACCCTTACTAATGATACTGGTCAAGAATTAAGTTGTTCAGAATGTGCCAATATATTCAATGCCGCCTTTTCGTCTGTGTTTACGAATGAATCTGACCCCGTTGAAACAGAATTAGTCTCTGTTAATCTGCCTGAAATGCCACCCTTTAACATAGGTTTCAATGGTATCCTGTCTTTAATAGAAAAAATGAAACTGTCATCCTCGGCGGGTACCGACGAAATTACATCCAAGCTGTTAAAGAACACAAAGCACATATCAGCCGAGTTTTTGTTTTTGCTGTTTTCCCAGTCACTTTTTTCAGGTATTCTGCCTCTCGACTGGAAGTGTGGGAAGGCCATTCCGGTTCACAAGAGGTAAAAGAGACTGCCCGTTAAATTATCGCCCCATATCATTAACCAGTGTATGTTGCAAACTCATGGAACATGTCATATACACTCATATCATGCATTTTCTTGATTCTAACAATTTCTTTCATTCCTCGCAACACGGATTTCGAAAAGGCCGCTCATGCGAAACCCAACTAGCCCTTTTCCTTCACGACCTGCATGCTAACCTCGATGGTAACCTCCAAACTGATGCCATTTTTCTTGACTTCACTAAAGCTTTCGACAAAGTTCCACACCAGCGCCTACTAAAAAAACTTTCTCAAATAAATCTACCAGCTGAACTTCTTAACTGGATTGCTCAATTTCTGACTAACCGCTCTCAGTTTGTTGTCGTTAACAACGTCAAATCTAACTCTCTTCCTGCTAGGTCTGGAGTGCCACAGGGATCTGTCCTTGGCCCGCTTTTGTTCCTAATCTACATTAACGACTTACCTAACAATTTATCCTGCAACCTTCGTATGTTTGCAGATGATTGTGTCATCTACCGCAAAATAACCAACACTTTTGATCAAGCAGCACTACAGAATGACCTTAATGAAGTATTAAACTGGTGTGACCATTGGCTTATGACCCTTAATCCTAAGAAATGCAAATTAGTTTCCTTCCACCGCCGCAAAAACCCACTCCAATTTTCCTATGAAATTGCTAACATGCCAGTCGAAACAGCCGTATCCTACAAGTATCTTGGTGTAACATTAACCCCTGATCTTTCCTGGCGAACGCATATCACTAACATGATTTCATCAGCCAACCGATCATTAGGATTCCTAAAACGTCACCTACGTCACTCACCGTATCACGTTCGTCTTCTGGCCTATCAGTCGCTAATCCGGTCCAAACTTGAATACGCATCACCCATCTGGAGCCCTCACCAAGTTTATCTGATCAACGCTATCGAAGCAGTTCAAAATCGTGCCGCTCGCTTCATTCATTCTTCTTATTCTTACGATGTCAGTGTTTCATCCCTTAAAAATGAATCCGGTCAATTAAGTCTTTCCCTTCGCCGCAGAATTGCTACGTTGTCACTGTACCACAAGTTGTATCACAGCTCACTCCACCAACCACCTTACATCGCTCCCGCCGCACGCATTTCTCCCCGCACTGGCCATCCACTTCAAGTCTTCCGACCCCGATCTGGCACCTCAACATTTTCTGCATCATTTCTCTGCCGCGCCGCCAAAGAATGGAATGACCTTCCCCACAATGTTGTTTCAATCACCTGTCCATCACGTTTTATTCAAAGTGTGTCAATGCATCTGCAATGTTAACCTGCGGCTTTTGTATCTTTGTTGTACAACCCACCCCTTATGTAACACCCCCCTGTGGGGTCTTTAAGGAAATAAAGTGAAGTGAAGTGAAGTGCTTTTTAGACGGAATGCAGCCATTTGATTACTCGAAATCACACAAAAAACAGACATTTGCTAACCCTAATTTCCAGTGCAGCAGGTCCATGCTGCAACCCAGCTGGCTGGCACACTTTGTCAGCATGCACGCTAAGACAACAGAGAACTTCACGCTAAGACAACAGAGAACTTCACGCTAAGACAACAGAGAACTTCAGTCAGACAGAAACAAGAAAGGACATCCGGCAATACTCTGTCAAACTAGATTAGGCTTGTGCAAACACGTATCAGTGTTTTCATTTGAAGCAAAGTTCAGGTGAATAGTAGTAATGGTGACTTATGCAACAGGAATATCAGCTTCAATATTTTAAGAATTCACATAAAACTTTTAAAAAAGAAGAATAAGAGGTCATAGAATCTAACAAAAAAGGTTGTTTATGTGCTACATTTAGTGATACATTTGTATTCGAATTTCCATGGCTATTTGCCATTTCTTCTCATTATTATTATTATTCAGATGTGAAGATGTTGCTTATGTCAACCACAAGTAAAATTCCAATAGAAACTGAAGTTCTAGACCTCCTAAACTAAAATTTGTTCGTTCAGAATACTCAAATTCAAACTACACTATACATCATAGTCTACTGAATACTATTCCAAAGTGCCATATATTTGCACAAGCCCAAAAAAAAAAAAAATGTGCTGTAACATTTTTTTTTTGTGTGTGATAATCCTTTAAAGCAATATGTACAATAGACTGCTATCACAGTCTGAGAAATCTCCAATTTAGCTAGTTATGCTAAAATTTGATAATTTATGCAAAGCATAAAATAGCCACTCTCTCCAATGAACATCACACAGTAAAAACCATTGATAATCACAAAATTAAAAGAGCTTTGTTCCACAACTGCATGAAGGCAAAGTGGACTCTTACATTAAAACACTTTTGTTCAAAGTTTCATGTGTGCGCGCCCTTGTTGCACGAAACGGAACTCTGAAGATGGCGCCAGGCCATGACCACTGCGCGAGCCGAGTTGGCCGGAGCTGTAATGTGACACCAAAGTGAACCCCCGGTGGCGAGCGCAAGTGTGCGACTGTGCGCAGATGGCAAGAGCAGGCAGAAGAAGGACGGCTGTGCAACTGTAGAGACGCCGTATTCTCATAAACGTTCTTTTGTAACTGTTGTTTCTTTGCCAGTCTTTTCCATCCAGTCTTCCAAATCATCATCGTCGTTTTTGCATCTAACACATGTTTTGCGGCAATGTGAGCACACTACATCTAAATAATCAAGCAAGATCCAGTATGGCATGGCGAATTTCGGTCAAAGCCATGCATCGCTTCGACATAAGAATTGCAAGACAGTTTATCACAGAAATTATATTAAAGCACTAAATCATAAATAAATTAGCTGTACAGATGGAACCACACTTGTCTAGAGCGCCCAGCCAGCTGCTTCAGCAGCTGTTTTCTTTAAAAGTATGCAATGACCGACACTGCAATGATACCTAACACAGTCAAACTGCATGCTAAATCCTTGTGCTAGAGTAATTCAAGTACCAATGTAAGCTTTTAGCTAATGTGAGCTAGCAGCTGTGGGCAACAGCAGCATACACAGCTATGTGCTCCACAATTTCTAAACAAGTGTGATTTTGTCTGTATACCATTCTGCAGCCATTAGCCACAAGAGACTAGTACCTTTGGCTTTCTTGCGGTCGCGCACGCAGTTGACTACACCAGTGTCTTCCGCCTCCGGTCCAGAATCCTCGTCCACCTCCACGCAGACTGCACTTCCCGGAATGTCAGTCTGTCAGCACAGCCACAACAGAGAGGGTGTGCAACAACAAAAAGAAAGAAGCAAGGACACCGCACAGTGGTCAAAGCTCATCACCTGCGTGCAAAGATTTGAAACAAAAGAGAAAGCGTGTCATTAACAGTGCGGAATCGCCACCCCTGCTTTACCCTTCAGCGAGGAGACGATAAAAAAAAGCATATGCCCTTAACATAGCTAATAACATCATAGTGTCCTCCTGTTGCCTAAAGATGTTCACACATTGAAAAGATGCTGACGTGGCATGATTTACTTTAGTCCTTATAATACCGCTTGAAAATGTCACTATAACTGCAGAGCAATGCCCACCGCTTTCAATATAAATGTAGCTCATTTTAATACACACTCTTTTAGATTTATATTCCACTTTACCAGCTATACAATATGACCCAGTGTGTTTTGTTTCAACAAAGCTTTAAAATGAATTTAAGCCCATTTGTACGTTGCTAGCAATGTGGCAGAATCTGCTCCATTTTTTCACACAGAGCAGCCTAGGATAAAAAGTAGCTGAGTGCAAATCCCTCATGACACGAAAGAACTCCGTAGTGGTGAGCAGGCCTGTGTTTCGCATTAGTGTGGGAAATATAGAAACCACAATATCGTAGTAGTGCCACACTTGCAAATCACAACTAAAATTACCAGACTTCTTGTGAATATATTCTATACAGAATCCCAGGCTTATTTACATGATCACAGAGCCAGTGAGTTAATATTTAACGAAATCTAGGTGCGACATGAAAATGTTTAATCTGAAGTAACACCACAAACAAAGTTTATAATTTTACGAACTTAAGTTTTGAATGGTGAAAGCAAATGAAATTCAGCTAGTTGGTATTACTTATAGCAAAGTGCAAAGCAATAAAACAACAAGAAAAGCTAGACAGGACCAGTGCCGATTAACAATAATCACATTGTTTTTACAGCACAAATGCATACACATCATGGAAAGGGGAAAGACAGGAGAATGAGGAGGAAAATATTTTTCTAACTCCTGCACGGGTACCTCCGCAGCTGAGCAATGTTCTTTGATGAGTAAGGTCACCTGCACATGAGTCACTTAGCATGAGCGACAGTTCGTGATGTGAAACAAAGAGCAAATAAGTGCTAAGGGCTAAACAAAATGAGGGCAAAACAAAAAAGACAAGTGATAAATTAAGTTTGTGGTTGCTTCTCGTTTTCCTTGTCTTCGTTGTGCTGCTACTCACTTACTAATGAAGAGCACAAAAAGTTATTTATTCTTAATAAATAATACTAACGTAATAACGAAATGCTTTTCTTTCTCCACAAGACATCAGTTCACCTAAATGTCATACATATGTAAGCTACAACACGTTTCCCATTTCAGGATGCACTATAGAATTAAACAGTATCAGTAAACTTTTATTCGCTTATTTTGACTAGTTAGAATACCATCAGAAGCCTGTGTGACCATACAATTGGACCTCAATTTGCAAATAATAGTGCAGTCAGGCTTAATTGTAAAACAGAACAAAAGAAAACCATCCAGTGAACATTCAATTATAGTATCTGCTATAGGGGAGCAGGTAAGGCAAATAACTATACTAAAGCACCACTTTATTGTCAGTTGAACCAACTGTTTTTGAATTTCCCACTGAAGCATCATTAGACCCAATACTAACACGTTTCATTAAGGAAATCCGTTCAGAGGTACATGTTTTGTGACACTACCCAATGCGCTTCTCATCATACTGATGAGAAATTGTCTAAAAGACTGGGTACAGACAGCACTTTACGTTTTAAGCACCGTCACCTGTGAATCTCGCATTGAGATATGCACCAGTTTGTGTATAGAAGAGATTGTTGGGAGCACCCTACCTCAAGAAGGGGAGGAATTTATCACGAATTTATCTTGGGAGCACTTTCAGTGGTTTGAGAGAGAGACGTTAGTCGGTGGTAACACGGCAAACCCATTTTATTAAACAAAACAACAAACAATCTGACACTAAGAATTCACTCCTAAAAAAGAGACATGTAAACAATAATCGGCTATAAAAGAAAAACAGACCTAATACCAATCCGAGTCGATTTTAGTCCTAACCCTAATCTTTCTTTAGCCAAAATGGCGTCTCGAGGGCTACTCTCATGCGATCCCACAAATGTAGAAAATTCTTGCTGTTCCGATATCACCTTCGAAACTATGTTGAAGTATTACCGTCTCAGAGTCATCATGGTGCTCTTGATGATCCACTCGTCTTCATTGCCGATGTCCTGGTCTTATTCGTCATCTTTAGCTCACTTGAACAAACCTAACTTGTCCATGGCCTTATTCACGACGCACTCAGATGACTGGTGTGGACCCCATCCGTTCTGGCTCGAAGCGGAAGAGCTGTAGTCCCCCCACAAACTGCTGTGCAAGGTTGCAGCAAGTCCCGGCAGCCTCACTCGAGTGTTCAGAGATCGACGGCCACTTCCCGAGCCTCTCACGCCAACATCCTTCAGGAGCGGGCAGCTACTGCTTACGTCGCTGTAGCAATGGTGACCTTCCTGACTTGCTATTCGGAGCTCCGCAATACAGTCCCAGCTCATCCTCTGTGATTTTCCATCAAGGCCCGGGTTACGCACCACGAGCCTTCTTGTCCAATCTCGTACGTGAACGTGACGCTTAAGCGCACCATCGGGGATCTTGAGCACGGACACTACATTCCAGTGCCAGGCACATGCCTCATGCTCTCTTACTCATGACAAGGAGGAGGAAGAAGAAATCCTTGCAAAGCACAGAAATGTTCAACTAAAGAAGCACTTGAAAAAAGTGAGGCCCCTTACTCCTTAGCAAAATGTAGTGCCAGAGGTGCATGGGAGCCTGAATATAGCGACTGGATTCATGACCACTGCAGTGCTAAGTGCACGAGTGCTGTAAATGATTAGTGCATGATTACTACATTTTAAAACATGCCAGTAAAATTCATTCAAATAAGTAGGATTGCAAACAAAATGGTTCCAATTTGATTTGAATGACTGTGTTTTTTTTTTTTTTAGCTTCTGATGAGAAGTTCCAACATAGCTATATCCCAGTTCAGCGAATTTTCATTTTTAACGAACGTTTTCCAGGAGTCCTTTGAAGTTCGTTCAAGTTTTGTTACATTGCATTGGGATCGTCGGCTGAGTGGTTCTCTTTCCTCGTGCGGTGCCATACATTCATCTCGGGACCACGCATGTAGACGGCCAAAACGTAAGTGCATGCCACCGAGCCATCATGGAGAATGACGATGGAGCACGGTGCAACCTCATCGTTCAGTGCTCCCGCAGCATTTCATCAGCACAGGCGTAATTTACAGCTGGCACTGTCGCAGAACACAGTCGGACAGGAGGGAAAACGTGCGCAAGCTGTACATTGTCCGGCCGTACTCACACAAGGTACCTTTTGCTGCTTTAATTTCCATGGACAGCGAAGGCAATGCATAAATTGCCATGACTTGTGGAGCCCAGCCACCTGTTAAAGAAACACGCACGTGGTGCCTGCTCGTTGGACACAGCGTCTCGTAAGCGTTTTTCACTGTCTTGTTTTCAGTCATTTGCACTATAATTTCCAGTACGAATTGGCCGTTGGACAATGGAAGTTGAAAACTGTTGTCTGCTGAATGATGTCTCTCACAAACAGCACTGCTGTCGCAGATTTGAGTTTGGTGGTTCACAGATTCACCTGGCTTGTAGCGAAGCATTACTCTCACGCGTTGCTTGAAGTAACTTCCCAAACCCTCCCCGCCCCCCCGGTACTAAAGCAGCTCAGCCGAAGATGCCATATGAGCACGATATCTCGCGCTGCCACCTTCAGCAACTTTTCAACAAAAGCTGCGAAAAGACAGTGCTTCGTCTGCTTTCAAGTCATCCGACTGCTTTTTTTTTCAAGTTCCAGTAGTGCACTAAATGAATTACCAGTAAGCTACACCCCTAAACAGCTTAAACTATTCTCCCATGTTTCCAAGCTAGCTTGGAAAGCTAAGCTGAATAACCAGCATGGAATAGTTGACATGAAACTTGTTCAGCTGTTGCATGATCATATCCTGCATATATTGTATTGGGAGAAATCGCACTTCATGACCAAAAAATGGGGTGCACCAACCTTGAGACCAAAGACACTTGCAGCTCCAAACACGCGGTAGAAGATAGCCTCTGGACCCCTGGAGTGAGCATGCAGCATCGCATTCAGGCAGGCCAAGGAGGCTGGGCTGTTAAGTAAGGACACCGCATACGAACACCATCAAAGGCTGCTGCTTTCGACCATAGCCTCCTTCACTTGGCCTACCCTTCAGGCTACAATTATTTTTTCTAGTTGAAGTACAGTACTAACCTATTCAATGCACTTTGAACACCACTAAAAACATGCAGCAACAGAACTGAGTTGAAATACTAAATATTATAGAATGTTTGGGCACACAAACGTGGATTAAAGGAGACTAAATAAAATTTTAAGTCAAATGAGGATGGTTGAAATAGCGTTCCAGAAACCTCATAGTGTTTGTTTCTTGCCAAAGAAATGCTCAAAATAAAAGAAACTTAGTGAAAGCTTGTGCATTGCCTTGAAGAGTAGAATACGACACCGTAATCAGACCTTGCTCACATCACCGTCTCAACTACCAGCCTGGTTTCGTTTCTCAGTGGGCACATAAACCGAGTCACAAGGAAAGTATGTCCATGCACCTGTAAACCTTTCCTTTGAAGCTATCCTAGAATGCTACTGCAAGTACAGAAAGGTCCTCTTCAACATAATTCGCTCTTTTGCAAGTCGGCAAGGTACCCACTACACATCCGTAAGGTAACGCGCACTGTTGATGCTGTTGTTGATAATAAGCATTCCCAAGTGGTTTGTAATTGGTGGACCTTTAAACCAACCACTCGTAGCACAATTCACATTTGATGCCTAGCGTGACACTACACTTCTGCCACGTAACACTGCATGTGTTGACGACATCCCTCGCACTACATAACACTCATATAAGCGTTTTCTTCCGCAGCCATTTTGAGCGCCGATGTGGCTTCATAGTAGAACACCAGGGCCCATATTCTGAAGCAGTCGTAAAAGGCAACAGTATTGTGTTTGATGGCGTAGCATCTGATGTGTTCAATAACTGCATCACTAACTTGCCTATGATGTCATTGTTTTACGAGGTGTTGGTCGGTGTCGTCGCTTGCGAGCGAAAAATAACTATCTGTCCATATCCAACAACACAGCAGGTAGCGTACTGTACAAATGTAGAGCGATCTGAGAGTGGTGTTTTCACGTGCATGCTAGCTTCTACGCAGTATCCAGGCTTGGCTAGGAATACTTGAAACATAAGATGTGCTCAAAGTGTTTTCAAAATTTGTTTTGCTATTGTTTGAAGCACTATGTAATACTTCAACAATGCAATTTTGTAGTGAAAGGTATTTTGTTTAGAATCTAATGCAGCTACTTGGAAAGTTCAGCTGTAGTGTGCTGCCGGCGTGCAATGTAGCCAGCACACTTTAATAATCCACACAAGAAACGGACAGTTAGTGTTATTGGCATTGTAGTGGAAGCATACGCACCAACGCGTATGCGCCTTCGGAAGATAACGAAAAAGCCCCGTGCTCTGATTGCGCGAGAGCCTGTGCCGGCTTTGCCAGACTTGTCGTATGGTCATTTTTTGCTGCAACCTCGTTGCGACTTCTCAACTCAAATGAACATCATCACATTTGGTGGAGGTTGCTGAGATTTCCAAGCAGACCTAGAGCTCCGCTCTCGCAAGTTGGCCGAGAGACCACCGCGAAATATGACTGACGCAGTCGCCAACCAGCCCATCCCAGCCCAGCCAGCACCATCGGCTGCCCCGTCTACCTGCCCCGGCGCTACCTGCCAACGGGACCCACCAATCTTCAGCGGCAGTGGTGAACAAGACGTCGAAGACTGGCTCTCCTTGTACAAACGCGTAAGTGCCAGCAACAAGTGAAACGACGACTCTAAGCTCGCCTACGTTATCTTTTACTTGGCAGACGTAGCTAAGCTTTGGTATATCAACCGCGAAACTGTCACCGCCAACTGGTCCTCCTCCAAAACCCTCTGAAGCGTTCGACCAACAAGAGGTCCGCAAGCTCCGCGCTGACCAGCGTCTACACCACCGAGCCGAACAGCCTGGCAAGACGTTTACTAGTTACATTGAGGATGTGCTCAACCCCTGCAGGTGTGTTAACCCATCTATGCCCAAAGAAGAGAAAATTCGGCAGATTCTCACGGGCATCGAGGATAGCGCATTCCAGATTTTGCTAGCAAAAAGCCCGACCATGGTGGCAATCCTCGTAAGCCTGCGCCAGAGCTTCGATGAATTGCGCGTCAGCGTTCTATCGCCCGACAGAGTGTCCCACCACCAGATTCGATCTCGGCCGTCGTACTCGCAAATGCCAACGTTCGCCAAAAAAGTATGTCCAAGCAGATCAGAGACTTCATCAGAGAGTAAGTCACCCGACAGCTCTCCCTGCTGCCGCATAGCGACGCGCCCACCACAAGCCTGCCTTTGACACTTCAACAGGCCATACGCACTGAAATTTGCGATGTCCTCCCTACAGTGCCAGCCCCTTACCCATGCGCTTCAGAAGCACCTGATCTCTCAACCGTCGGCTACGCACCACCTGCGCCACCTTCACCTCTCAGCTACAAAGCTGTGGTCGCGCGGCCCCCACGGCAGCTAGTCTCCTTATCGGCTACACCTCCTCCTGCCTCGCCTCCGGTATGCAGGCCCTTACCTCGCTTTTTCCGTCCATCTGAACAGTGGCGCACCCATGACAACCGTCCTATCTGCTTCGCGTATGGCATCGCTGGCCACGTTGCACGCTTCTGCCGCCGCCGTTCCACACCTGCGTACGCCTCCTTTGGACCGCATACCTACGCGCCGCAGCAGGCCACCACGTCTGCATATGAACAGAAGCACTCCGACTCGGATCGCTGCCTATCAACTGCTCGTTTTCCATCTCCTCGTCGCCAATCGCCATCGCCTATGCGTCGTCGACCACCTCCTGAGGAGGGAAACTAATCAGTGCAGTTCCGGAGGCAAGAACTGCAACTTCTGCGCAATTACCAAGGCCTCCATTTTTCGCCGCAAAATGTTGTTGATGTCGATGTTGAGGCAGTCGCCACACTAGCGTTAATTGATACTGGGGCCGCCGTTTCTGTGATGAACGCAAAACTTTGTCGCAAACTGAAGTGACCACATCTCTTGTGGCATGGTGCTGTTTACGGCTAGCGCGCAACGCATTCATCCCTCGTCTGTGTGTACGGCGCGCGTCATCATCCAAGACGTTTTGTACATCGTCCAATTCTTTGTTCTACCATCTTGCTCTCATGACCTCATCCTGGGTTGGGATTTCTTATCACGTCATGAAGCTATCATCGATTGTTCCCGTGCCCGGAGGTGTCCCTTGTGCCAATGTGTGAATTTCCATCGCCCGACCATTCTCTGCTCTGCAAACTCATCGCTCAAGACGACATCATTTTGCCTCCGAAAGCTTCAGTCCCTATTAGCCTTTCATGTGTAGCGCAACCTGACGCCACGGTGGTGTTCACGCCATCTCTGGTTTTTACTGAACGCAAGGGCATCGATCTCCCATTTGCCGTTCTTACAATTGCGTCTGGTTTAACCGTAATGTTGGTTACCAACCACTACAACTACCTCATTGGCTTACTCCGTGGTGAAACCTTGGGATATGTACAACCTGTCGAACGTATCGATGATATTGTCGCGGTACAACGCGAATAAAACACAGATACACCTTGGGACGACGAAAGGCAGCGTGTCCTGAACAGCTCAGTCACAAGATCGTCTTCTTCAGCCTCGAGAGAAGCTAGAGGCCCACTACCTCGTGCCCCCTAAATGCCCCATCATCGTTATCGTCCACATGTAGACACGCGTCATTTGCCTCTCTCCTAAAGAGCATCGCCCCGATGCGCAGTCTGTAATGCAGTTTTTTTTTCTAAATTAAAGTATCATGCAATCACTCGCTGACGTAGGGTTTCATGCGGACTACGTGAACGAGTTCAGGATGGTGCTGGCGACGCCTTGTACTATACGAACAGTCGGGAACAACTTCGTAAGTGACATCGCTCAGTCGTCGCACAACTAGGTACGGTCCAAAGTATCTTCTTAAAAGTTTTTCGGAAAGTCCTCGTTTTCGTATGGGCGTCCAAACCCATACTTTGTCGCCAGTTTGGTAGACGACTGTACTGCGGTGAGCGTTGTAGCGGCCTGCATCGTAGTCTTGCTGCTGGCTGATCCGTAAACGTGCAAGTTGCCTAGCTTCTTCTGCGCGTTCCGTAAACGTGTCGGCGTCCGGGACGATGTCGTCGCCTTCGTGCGGTAACATTGCATCTAACATGGTTCGTACTTCCCGTCCATGAACGAGGCTGAAAGGCGTCATGCGGGTCGTTTCTTGCTTGGCCGTGTTGTATGAAAACGTTATGTAAGGCAAGATTGTATCCCAGTTTTTGTGTTCGACGTCAACGTACATCGAAAGCATGTCTTCAATGGTTTTGTTTAGACGCTCTGTCAGCCCGTTTGTTTGTGGGTGGTATGCGGTGGTCTTACGATGCGTTGTTCCACTCAGCATCAAAACATGGTCCAAAAGAGCTGCTGTAAATGCGGTTCCTCTGTCTGTGATTACGACGGTTGGTGCACCATGCCTCAGTACAATATTCTCGATAAAAAATCTTGCCACCTCCGCTGCTGTACCTCTCTGGATAGCCTTTGTCTCGGCATAACGGGTCAAATAATCCGTCGCGACGATAACCCATCGGTTACCTGCAGTAGAAGTAGGGAGTGGGCCCAAAATGTCCATGCCGATCTGGTGGAATGGAGTCATTGGGACCTGTACGGGTTGCAGGAGGCCAGCTGGTTTAGTTGGCGGTGACTTGCGTCGCTGGCAGTCGAGACAAGTACGGACGTGGTGCTTCACGGCTGTGGTTAGTCTTGGCCAGTAATACCTTTGCTGTACCCTGGCCAACGTTCTTGTGTAACCCAAGTGGCCAGAGGTAACCTCGTTGTGGCATGCTTTCAGTACTTCGGTGCGAAGGGCTGCTGGGATGACGAGCAGATAGGCAGATGCCGTCGACGAAAAATTTCTTTTATAGAGTACTCTGCCACGTAAACAAAATGATGACAACGCTCTTGCGAAAACTCTTGGCGCCTTCCGAGATCTGCCATCCAAGTAGGTAATTAAGCCA